CCGGGCCCGGAGCCCAGCGCCAAGCAGCCGCCGCCGCAGCAGCAGCCAGAGCCCCCTCCGGCCCCCTCCTCCCCTGAGGAGACGTGCCACTTCCTCAATGCTATCTTCCTCTTCCTCTTCAGGGAGCTCAGGGACACGGCCCTGGTCAGGAACTGGGTCACCAAGAAGATCAAGGTGGAGTTTGAGGAGCTGCTCCAGGCCAAGATGACGGGGAAGGTGCTGGAGGGGCTCAGCCTCAGGGACGTCTCTCTCGGCAACGTCCTGCCCGTCTTCAAAGCTGTCAAGCTCATTCGGCCAGTGGTCTGCGGTGAAGAGGGCTGCCCTGAGGAGCTGGGCTTTGAGGTAGACCTGGAGTACAATGGTGGCTTCCACTTGGCCATTGATGCCGACCTGGTCTTTGGCAAGTCGGCCTACCTCTTTGTCAAAATCTCCCGGGTGATGGGGAAGCTGAAGCTGGTCTTCACGCGCCTGCCCTTCACGCACTGGTCCTTCTCTTTTATGGATGACCCTGTGATACTCTTTGAAGTGAAGTCTCAGTTTGAAGGGAGGCCCATGCCTCAGCTCACTTCCATCATTGTGAACCAATTCAAGAAAGTCATTAAACGCAAGCACACGTTACCCAATTATAAAATCAGGTAAGATGTCCTTGATGTTACTTTGGGTGGCGTACGTTAGAGTTGCTGTTTTGCCCTTAATAGGTAAAAAGAGCTTTCTCTTGGTAGTTCTGCAGTAGAGGTACTTGTATGATACTTGTGTGATATCAAAAGCTTTCTGTGAAGATAAGCGTTGTTTTCCATTTATAATAGGTGAAGAAGCCATTGCACAATGAGATTGTGACATGCTCTGAACCAAGTGTAACTAAATGACAGAATCAGTAGGTATCAAAAATTTTGGGATCTGATCAGGTGTCCAATGACAGGACCATGATATCCCCTTTTGGAAAAGGTAGAAGGATGGCTCTGTGGACAGCGTGTGGGTTTGAGGTGTCCTTCTCCCAAGCTTCTGCCACTGGTGAGCCACCTGGGCAAGACTTGTGGCATATGCTTACCTATACAGACAAGGTGGTTGTTACTTAATGTGAGAAAGGATAAAGTTCACTCTCTAGGGAATATTTTTTAGATCCCATGATAGATCGTGTCCTCTTCCTTTCCAGTTTGCTGAATTTCTTCGATAACTTTGGGAAAAATCTAAAAGTTGATAAGAGAAGTATTGCCACTATTGTGGTAAGCAAAACTTTGGAGAACTTCTTGGGGTTTTTTGTCTTGTTTTGTAAGATAATGTTTTCTTTTATAAATGCATGCACTGCAGCACAGGCTGCATTATATAGTGAATATAATGAAATATTCAGTGATATTTCTGTAGCAGAAGTGGCAAGTGGCATCTTTACTTTGATTCCACCCTCATTTCTGATTACAAGATGTTGAATGTCTTACCGCTGTTCAGGTACCATGTTCCCTTTTTGTCATGTGTCTTACCACTCTTAGGATACCATGTTTCCTTTTTCTTTTATTTATTATTTGTAGCTTGTATTATGTGTTAAGTAAGGATTTTTGTTTTGTTTACCACATTCTTCTGCAATAAGCCTTTTCTCTGAAATTCATCACAGATGAGTAACTGGAAATGCCTATTTGAATTTTGAAGTGTAGTTAGCTTTGCAGTGATGTAATTTTTGAAGCCTTTTCAGCTGTTTCTTCTGCAGTTGAATTTATAAGAGTTCTTATGAAAGTGGATGTGTAAAATATCCAAGATTTGGAAAGTTGTGACAGGGCAATAAGTAGTTTCTCTGGGTAAGGTGGCGGTCCTTTCACATTTTGAGGTACTGAATTGCTCTCCAGAAGAGAGCAATCCCTGGGCAGCAGGGAGGCTGTCAAGAGCAAGTTTGCTTTCATTCTTTTACTGTGTTGGAAAGAGACTGAAGCTGTTAACTGTGGAGAAGAGCCTGAAGGAAAGGCAGGGATAACACACTCATGGTGCAGAGTGAGCGCTCTTGACATACCTAGAAAGAGGAAGGAGAGCAAATGATCTTTACACTCTCTAGACAAGTTTTTAGAGTGCCTGTGAAACCAGTGATGATGTGCTCCTCCCCTTCAGCAGAGGCAGACATCTTCATTTTTCTTCTGGGAGATGCACCTGGGCAGTAGTGTGCACTCATCATTTAGTTTCCTTTAAGTTATAAGGAGTTGGGAATTTGTGAATGCTTGAGAGGGAAATACAGTATCATAGCTGGTTTTCACGCTAGATAGTAGCCTGGTAGCACATGGTGGCGAATGTTCAGTTAAACGGTGTCCAACCCTGTATATGGTGCTTTTGACCTTTAAATTTTATGCCATGTTCTGAACAGGTCATTCTGACCCACTGTGTTGTGAAGGAGGAAGGGAGGACGCTAGGCTTAATGCGCATTAATGAAATTGTCTTAAGGAAGGAAGATTGGGTCATTGGTGTCCTAACTGTCTAGAACTATGACTTCAAAGCTTCAAGTGGGAACACAGACCCCTGCATGGCAACGTTTAGCTGTCCACAGTTGCCCAAGGTTTTGGGGAACACAGACTGAAAACACATATTCTCTGCCAGCGTGTCTCAGATGAGTTTTGCTCTCTAGGGATCTACCCGCATAAACTTGGTAACAACCAAGTAGTAACAATACACTCTTACGTGGTGGCATAGTTGAGATTTGAGACATTATGGTTTAGATGGTATGGATAACTGATTTGGAAAATCAAGCCCCCTGCTGATAAGATGCAAGATTTGGTATTTTTAATAGCATTAGTAAGAATACATTGGTTTGGAATTATGGTATGTTAATGCATTCCTTAGCAAAGAATATATAGGAAGAAGTCAGGAAAGTTTCACAACTGCTTAATAACCTGTTACTTCACTTTAAATTTCTCATCTACAGGGAATGTGCTTATCCTCTCCCCATTTTTTTCCTATGGCCTATATGCCTTTTGTTTAATAGAGTCAGTATTTACTTCCATGTGTAGTTCAAAACCTTTTTGATGTCTTCCTACTCTTGCTCAAGTAACTTTGTAAATAAATTTTGAATAGCAGTAATTACAACCTTGTAAACAAAAGCACTTGAAGTGCCAGGAGTTCCCTTTTCTGCTGGTTAAAAGGGGCACTTTGTTACCCTGCTAGCTTCCATATTGAAGTCCACAAAGTTGTTTTATCTTTTTTTTGATGTAAGTAGTATTAAAAATTAAAATATGCCATTTTCTTTGTCTTTTGTATTATGCAACTTCTAGAGATTGTTCCTTTGTAGTGAATGGCATAAGACCACTTGCCAATAGTTGATTTTCAACATCCTATAACTAAGCTTGTGCTAAGGAAATCCCCCCTCCTCTGTTATTTATGCATTAAAAGCATTGTGTCTTCATGCATGTACTGTCTGTTGCTACAGCCAAATGACTATACACATACTTTTGTATTATTTCCAGTTATGTACAAAATTTTATGCAGCAAAGCAGTGATTAGTAAGATTAGCTTCTTTTGTATCATCCATTGCCAGGAGTGGCTTTGTGCGATGTGCATGACTCTAGCTTGAAAGTGGAAGAAGGCATCTTGCATTCCTGATGCACTCTGAAGTGTCTATGGGGGGAGGCAGTGTAGACTAGTAAATGCATTTTAAAGTTTGCCTAGCATTTTATGGACAATTTTTCTCCATAAAAGCAATTGTCTACTAATTGAAAAAAGGGGAATGCACTTTATGTCTAAACAAATAAGTAGTAATTTGTGTTTTATTCTAACAGTGTGTGATCACTTTTCTTTGTCTCTTTAAGAAATGTGGTTGTGTCTGGCAAAACACCCTATTTTGAAGCTGCCCTGCCATTGAATGCAATTGTTAGAGAGCAGAATTTGGTTAAGACTCTGGAAGCAAGGCTGCTGGTAAAATTCAGTGAATGGTATCTTTTCTTTTTTTTTGGCTATTGTTGATAAAGGATTTGTGCAATTCAAGTGGTAGTAGCAAGAGTCAGTACCATTTTATAGTTAATGTATTTGTTGTTGCTTTGTAATAGAAGTACAAACAGATTTTCTGAAAACATTGTGGTCTGTCAGAGAAGTTTCTTGTTCAGATGTGGGAAAGATCTAAAAATGACAGGTTTTTTTTTTCTTCTCCCATATACATGAGTTCTGGTGTGCTCTTGAGAAAGTAGGTAGCTGTGAGTCAAGATTTTCTTTTTTTTTTTTTTATAACTAGTCCTAATCTCAGTAAGTTAATGAAGAATTGTAGATATCATTTATTTGGCTCTACATACTCCATAACTCTATTTTGACTTAACTGTTTAAATTATACTTTTTTTAGTTCTAAGTTGGCCGGTGGGTGGAGTTTGAGCATGGAAAGCTTTGACTTCCCCGTTGGTTGGTTGTGATGTCAACTATTGGTGTTCTGCAGGGCAGCTGCTGACCCACCAGCTGTGTCTTGCTGTCCCGAAATCTCTAGTGCTAACACTTGGGAACCGTAGTCAGTCAGTCTTGCCCATCAGCATAGCTTGACTTGACACACTATTTTTCATGTAGGTTTCTTTTACTAGAGCAGGGTGGTAGATACTAATTATCAGCACAAAGCGGAGTTTATCTAGAAGCCTCAATCGACCTTTGGTTTTTCGTTGTATACACTCAAACAGTTCTTTCAAAGTAGTACTATAGATATTGTTCATGTTGGCTTTAACTTTCTGTATCATGCCTTTCTAATAGTAGGATAAAGTTGTTAACACTAAGCTGGAGTTACTAGTATTGCCATGATGTGTTTAGTATGAGACATGTAGTAAGGACTATTTCAGGTGTCTGTCTCCTTGCTTGTGCTGTTGCAGTGGTCACAGATTCATCTATGTTTAGTTCTCTAATGAGCTGTACCTTGCTTATTAACCTATTATTAAGCTGCTTATTGGTGGCAACCTTGATATTCCCCCCCCC